AATCAATATAGATATAATTGTTCGATGTGTTGTACAAAATTCAGTTGAAGTTGTTATATCATCTCCATCGAATGTTGTCTAACTTTTAGTACATGAGTATTCGGAATGATTTTATTTACAATTCGAAAAACTATTATTTTCATTTTTTCTTTTGTTTTCAGAGCTTTTCTTCATATTTTACATGATATAGTTTGAGAAATTTTCACTAATGCTCGACAATTTGTTTCTCTTGTATTGGGTTATCTTTATTTAATTACGGATATTATGGAAAATCCTAATCAATCAAATTAATAATGTATTTCGAGACACGAATATGACAGCCAAGCAATAGAGATATCATGTGGAAGTACGAATAAGCTTCTGAAGATTTTAAACATTTACTTTATCGCTATGTAGAGACTATAGTTACATAGCACTTTTTAGTTCAAGTCGTTATCTTGATAAAAAATACTCGTATGATTGATTCAAAAATTTCAATTTTTAACTTTAAGAGAAACAAACTAACCAAACATATAAAACTAATTTCTAGTGATAGAAATCAGCTTCTTACTCTGCTTCAAAGTCGAAAAGCCTTTAGTTTTAATCATAATCTATATAAAAGTATCATATCACTCATGAATTTAGAGATAAAACTTTATTTCAATTTATTATTTACTAATGAGTTAGCGAGAAAAATTCGACTTTAAAATTCCTGTACTTCTATAAGTTCTATATTTTTATTTTAGCGAAACAATTTCCAAAAACTGTAAATAATTTCCGTCAATTATTAATTAACACTGAAACTCTACATCGTCTTAACACACTTTCACATTCATTTATTTATTTTAAATGAATACTTTGAATATTTATCATAATCTTATATACAATTATTATTATAATTGACATATATTCAGTGAATATGCTTGATTTTAGATAAGAGGCATCATAGTTATTAATATAAACATCATCATACATTATTATTTTTAGTTTTATTTCAACAAAGTGATAAAAATACATGTAGATAAATTATATGATCTTCTGCATTGTACATAATTTCCAAATCATTTATTTGTCAAATCAATATATACTTATTGGAATAATTTATTAAAATGATACAAATTTTTATCGATTATTATCGTTAAAATTTCTTCGTATAAACGAAGTAATAAATATAGATGAAAGTAATCTTTATTAGTTTTATTCATTGAACAATGTCTTACATTCCTGTGAACAAGTGTGCATTACGTTAAGCTGGACGAATTGTTTGTCTTCGTATTGAAATGATGTTAATATTTGACAAACAAAAATTAAATAAACAATTATTAAAAAAACATTTATCATTCATTTTAGGAATATTATTAAACAAGATTTTCGTAATCTTAATTTTCACAATGAAGATTTTATAGTTAATTGGATGAGAAAAAGTTATTTCTTCTATCGATGTGACACGAAAAANGTGTGGGTGTGGGTGTGGGTGTGGGTGTGGGTGTGGGTGTGGGGTGTGGGGGTGGGTGTGTGTGAGTGTGGCGTGTAAATGTGGGGGTGGGTGCAAACATTCTCTTCATCCACACTCACACATCCACACACAGGGTGTGGGTGTGGGTGTAGGATTCTCAGTCGAAGACCCACAGCACACACACACCCACACTCAGGTTCACAATCAGCTTTAAAAATCGAATTCGAATGATATTAGAATAGCACCAAGTTACAATTTATAGAAAAATTTAATGTAAGTTCCATAGCATAAATACTGATCCCCAGCATCGAAACGAAATTTCATTGTCGGTCTTCCGCCGTGTGGTGCTGCGAAGCAGAGAGGCTTCCCACTTGATGGATTCCATTCGACGGGGACCTCGCGTCCGTCGTCGGTCGTGCGAAATGCGTTTGCACATCCAACCGGCGACATACACAACTCATAAGGATTCAGCAAGTGACTTTTGAACAAAACTGTCATGTTGTACATTGGTCCACCCCAAAATAAAGATATATTTGAGCAATTGTTACCATAGTATAGACGATCCACGATGAATGTTCCATTTATACAGCTTGCCGGAATGTACTGGAAGCAGTCTTTGGTAGGTTCAACATCGATCATACAATCGTCGCTGCTGTATTGGCCCAGCACGACTATCGAAATAGAGGCAATAAGCAAAACGAAAAGATTAATATGGAACGACATTATGGGCCACTTTAAACATGCATGTGACTCGTTCGCTCCTATTTATTCTCATACAATCGAGCAGGTGTGAAGCATTACTTGAAATTTGATCAATGCCATTAGCAATATAGTATTTAGCTCCATTTACAGTCAGCGGCAAAAGCTTAATCGAATTTATTTTTGCAAACGTTTTTTCAGTTTTTCTTTGGACATAAGAATTACGGATCTAATTCAAATGGTGATATAGATATATGAGAGGCCGGCTACGCGATGTATTATAGGAGAAAACTCTGTCATTCTATATGGATTTTTCACAACTGAAATCATTTTTTCCAAGCGAAAATAGGTTTTACAGATCCATTTAAATGTCAAAACCAAATTCAATGCTATCTAAGCAGATCATGGGTCATTTTAACGCATAAAAATACGTTTTTATCGATATTTTCTGACGGGGTATACGCTCGTTATGCAACTGGAGTACTGAGTTCTCGTGCGAAAACGTACGAATAGAACAAGAAAGAACGCTGTCATTATGCGCCGAGCATACATAATAAAAAAAATTTTTATTAACACGGCAAGCTTTTTTCTCCATGTAAATTTGCACGCGTTCTTCTTATACATGCACTCAAATAATCAAGAAACGATCGTAAGTAAACACACAGACTAATACTACTACAAAGAAAAAAAATATCGCAAAGTTCGACAAGACGATCGCTCTCATTGTGGGTGGTTCTGAAGGCATTGGTTTAGCCACTGCCCAACGGTTCCGCGCCGAAGATGCCGAACATGTCTTCATTACTGGACACCGACAACAAGTACTCGATGCAGCTGTCAAACAGATCGGGACGGAGAACATTGGGTTAGATCACTAAAGAACACTTTGATCGTGAATTCGACAGTAATGTTAAAGGACTGCTGTTTATCGTGCAAATAGCGTTACCTATTTTCGTCGACAGTGGATCTATCGGTTCGGAGGACCATGTATGAGGGTGGCCAGTGCGACAAAAGCGGCGGTTAGTTCGTTGTTTGAGTGTTGATCTTAAAGCGCGCAAGATGTGAGTGAACACTCTAAGTCCGGAACCAATCGGCACACGTGCCATGAGACGAATGGGAAACACCAATAAAGAAAGAAAAGCGTTCGCCGAAATGGCGAAAACTTTTACAGTACCGAATCGAGTTGAAACAATTGACGAAGTAGGGTGGGTGTGGGTGTGGGTGGGTGGGTGTGCGGCCTGGGTGTGAGGGTGGAGATAGGGGCGGGGATAGGGGTAAGTGGCTATGAGTGGATGTGAGTATGAGTAAACATGAATCGAACACCGACACCGACACCGACACCCATCCCACCCACCCACACACCCACACTCACCCACACGCACATGCCACACCCACCCACACCCATACCCTCGAATATTTTCGTAAAAAAGTCTTAGAAAATATGTATAAATGTTTATTGGACAAAGTATTG